TGATGACCAACAACCACAATATGGAAGCACAGCAGTTTCCTCATTTATAATTTTAAAACACCTGATAATGACCTTATAGGTCGGAACACGCAGTGAATAACTTTTAGGAAGTTTTACAGAAGGACATGCTGCATGTGAGACCGTGAAACAATTTGGTACTAAATGAGGTGCAGCAGGGTGCTACAGTATACTAAAGTAAAGGTATCCCTGTAACAGGCCGTAGAGGCCCATAGGGTTATGAGATGTTGAGGTTCCCACATTTTCTAGAAAATCGGCTCACAGATGGCGGCAAGATTGTCAGCCCTGTGCGCTGGCTGCCCGTTACCCTCAAGAATATTCCTGGTACTCATTTCTATTAGAGGCTGAGTCGGCCCCAGGACCATAGTGCGGCTGCAAGGATTAGGTCAATTGAAAAAAATCCAATGATTTCATCGGGACTTGAACCCATAACCTTCCGGCTTGTATTAGAAATAAGAGCTCATGACCAGATCTGGACTGATACTCACTCCTTCCTGTTCAGTTTTCTTCATTCGTTTCTCCACTTTATTTTGCCAGGTCCCTTTCCATGAAATTCATGAGACAGGTATCTGAAATTAGAAATAGAGACAACATTAAAGTCACTGTATTTTAGGATCTTCCAGAATGTGGCCATGTTTCCAAGTAACACGTAAAATCCTTTCATCCTAAAGTTTCAGCCAGAAAAAGGGTATGATCCATATATAGTTCAATCTGTTATTTTGTGAAATAATAAAAAATTTGTAACACTCCGTTTTCCAACACAACTTACTCATACAGCCAATAACCAGAAATGGGCATGCTACAGCACATTAAAGTCATAGGGATTGAAATGATTAATACAAAATATTTTAATAAAAGTACAATGGGATAGTAATAATTTCGAGGCATGTTTCTTCCTAATTCATGCAACCTATCTGCAAAATGAACCATTCTGCCACATTCTATGCCTACACAACAAACTATATCAAGTACAAAGTATTTACACACTCAAATGTCACAATATGTTGGCTAGTTACAAACTGCCACATACAGAATGGGAGAAAAGGAAGTTGAAACAACAAGTATATATCAAAATGTTCTGCTGAAAGCATCTGAGGTGGAAGACAATAATCTCACCACCCAAGACAGGGTAATCATGATAGAGCTGGTCAGCAGAGGGACCCTACAATTTGACATGTGCTCTAACCCAATGGGAGGGGGGTATCCTTTGTATTCCTGAAGCTCGAACTCTGGTAGATGTGAAGGCATCATCTATGAGAAGAAAAATATGTACACAGATGCGAGTGGGGATCGAACTCAGAACCTTCTGAATGGGTATAACAGTTTACCCCAGGACCTTTTTCTTAGGGATCTAATTTAAGTGACTCTAGTGTTGCTCCCAACTCAGTCACCATATTAATATGGCTGATGGTAGACAACTAAAAGAACATGTGAGTGGCATGATGACAATACAGAGTTTCACATATATCAGTTGGTTCACACATTATCATGAGGATGGCACACATGGATGATAAACACGGTAGTCCCATGATCTTGTATATTTCCACTGAAAAACTGCTTCCTCCTTGGAATTTTTTTCTTAAAATGGCAATTACTGTGGAAACTTCTTCTGCTCTAAAGAATGTACCACCATCGGACAGGCTACCCTCCACAGTGTGACCTATCTTAAAAACAGATATGCTATTATCTGTGCTAACCTGAAAGCCTCCTTTGCATTAAGTACGTGTCCATCATCATCTATGTAGTCGAGTTTAACATTTGGTTTCTAGCCTCCTCCTCTTCGAAGTCTGAGGTCAGACCACTGTAGCGCTCGCAACGCCCAAACTTTTCATCATCTCTGAAAAAGATAAAGCAATGCGGTATATTAAATTCCTTAATTATTCTTGCTTGCTTACTTCGTCCTGTCTTCATCATCATATACACCTCCCTAATACTCAAGTGGGTCAATCCCGAGAGACAAGACGAGACTTGCAATCCAGTTATAGAGGAGATGACAAAGTATTCAAAGCTCAGATATTCTTTACCCTTCAAAATCTCCTATTCTACTCCATAATCAAAGCAAGTGGTCCATCCTTGTGCCCATGACAACTCTCTTCCCTAAGGCCTGCTGCAGAGAAGACTTGACAGCCACGGGACAACTTAGGTTACTTAGCCTGCAGCCACCCACTCACACTAGCTCTTCGCTTGTGGATTTTTATACCCTGAAGACGGAGGCGATACGTTCCTCCAAAACATCGGTTTACACAATACCTATACAGTGCCACATCCCACAACACAGCATTCTTCAAAAGTGACATTCATTAAATACAAAGACACTATACAGTAAAAAAAAAGTAAAGTTATCCCTGTAACAGACCGTGGAGGTCCATAGGGTTGTGAGACGTCGAGACGCCCCTATTTTCTAGACAACTGGCTCACAGACGGCGGTGAGGTTGTCAGCCTTACGCACTGGCCACACATTACTCCTCATGAAAATTCCTGGTACTCATTTCTGTTAAGAGGCTGAGTCAACCCCAGGGCCATAGTGCAGCTGGAAGGATTAGGTCAATTGAAAAAAATTAATGACCTAGTCGGGACTTGAACCCACGACCTTCCAACCTGTAGCATAGTGCCTCAACCAACTATCCTACCGCTACTAATATTAAACAGTAATGATTAATGTGTGTCTACTAAAACCCCTAACAAAACTGCAGTATATGATTAAATATGGTACACCATTTATGAAATACTTAAAATATAAACGCACAATTAAAACCAATAAGAAAGTGTCAATATCTCTTAATTTGAATAGGCCTATGTCGTACATAAAGAATCTGCTAATGACTCACCAATCTCAACTTCATTCCAAGCTCCACATTTGCCTTCTTCTTCCTGACGTTTCTTCTCTTCAATCATTTCCCTCCCCAAGTCCTGTAACGTAAATGTTGTATGAGATTAGCAGAATGCAAATGCGCAGTCCAAAAATTACCAATTCAAAATTACCTTGAGATAGACTGAAATCTGAACTGCTTACCCACCAGCCACTGTATAAATAATTACTGCACTGTAAAGTACTGACTGCACTGTGTAGGACTGGAGCTTCTGACAGCAGTGGTTTTGAAGACTTCAGTCATCTGGGAGGTAATGCCTTGTGGTCTGTCGAAAGTCATCAGACATTTTGCAGAAACATGTCACCTCCATCTTCAGGGTTGAAGAATAAATCAAGCAAGAAACCAGCGCTGGCAGGTGACAAAGCCAAGCTTCCTACCTGCTTCATGCTGGCTTTTTGTTTCATTTATTCCTTGACCCTGAAGATTCAGGTGACATGTTCCCCCAGAAATTTGGATGATACCCCAGAAGACAGAATTTTTCTGACTATACTGATCATCTTGAAACTTCTTTGCCAAAATATCTTTTTAATGTCATAGTATGCAAAGTTACAGATCTATCAGAAACATACTCTCATTCTGCCAAGCGATGTACACTTGGCAAACTAATTCTGAGTTTGCAGTGAGAATACTGTGACGATTAACATTCAATTCACTTTGCAATGATTAAAATTACAAGAACTACTGGTTTTTCATTTAGTCATGCTCTGAGCTATTTATTCATCCCTATTTCAATTTCACATATAATTCCTAGTAGCGTCTTTTCTACCCATGTATCATGTACATGGCACAGGGGGGAAAAAAGAAATAAAAGATGGGGAAAGAAGTCTGGATTTGAGATTCTTGTAGAGGAGATTAAGAAAGGCACTATCTTCTGCGAAGTAACATCCTGTAAGTCCACTGACATTCCTTCAAAATGCTTATGGACCCTATCACATTATATGGCATTTTATTCCAGAAGGTACCACTTGTCAAGAAGAAGAAGAAAAAGGTTCTACCATCTCAACTATCACATTCTTATTGTATAACGAGTGCTTTCATTTCTAGGATTTCTGTTGGATATTTCCAGTTCAGTAATTTATATATCCATTATCATGGAATTCAACTATAATTAAAATATATTCTAATTCTGTTGCAGCTGCAGTAAATAACTGTAGATGGGCAATGGACTGCATCTAGTCTTCACACATGCTAAATCAAAGTGCCTTGCCAAGTGTACACTTATCTGCGGATGGTTATATTGCACTCACAAGTAGTTCCTGAGCATCCTCATCCCTGTTGCCAGCCAGACCATAAATGGGGATGTCACCCAACGTACGGCAGAATTCTGCGGTAGCATTCAGCACAAAGGAACCACCTTCCGTGTTTCTCCCCAGTAATGACTCTGCCACCTACAAACATCACAAATCACAAGCAGTCAAATTATGTAGCTATACAGCACTCTGTTTTGAAGTATCCATAAATGCAAAGCTGTCCCTAGGCTTAATTAGTTATGCTCTACATGGAGGTGAGTGGCCAGCTCCATGCCACTCGGGGAAACAGCCCCTGGTGCCTATTTGACAGGAGGCCATAACAGGTCTCAATAACCAAAATACAAGAAAGGATGATGGTATAAAAAATGTAGAGCTCTCCCTGTAACAGGCCGTGAGGCCCACAGGGGTGCGAGACGTCGAGACTCCCATACTTTCTTGACAATAAGCTCACAGATGGCAGTGAGGTTGTCAGCCTTACACACCTGCTGCCCTTTACCCCCCAAGAATATTCCTGGTACTCATTTCTGTTAGAGGCTGAGCTGACCCCAGGGTCATAGTGTGACTGGAAGGATTCGGTCAATCTAAATATCCAATTACCTAACTGGGAATCGAACCCATGACCTTTCAGTTTGTAGCACAGTAAGAAAGGATGATGATATTACTTAAATGTGAAGATATGATTTATTGGTATGAGGCCCACCACAACAAACTGTGAGACAAACAACTTAATAGCTCTCAGGTTAAATTACAGTATAGTTTCTCTAGGGTACAATGGTTTTCTACTGTGACCAAGGAGGAAACATCATAATGAACTTTACTACAAAGTTCTGTGCAACATTTTAAAACTGGAACATATGGAGACACTGTGTAGGAATGAATAAATAAATAAAAAACATGGCACAGGATTCTGTAGCTAGGGACAATTTCATCACCTCCTACCACCTATCCATAGAGCTGCTCCTTTCTTGTCTCAGGGAGAAAAAGCAAAGAGGCAGGTAAGAGGAAGATGGCCTTGACTTAACAAGAGAAATGGCCCCTACTACAGCCAAACATTTGTGAAAGGAATTTGCCAATATGATGTACCTTTTCTACAGTTCTTTGATTCTGTAACAGCCTCCTGCAGCTTCAGTCTCCATGCTTTCTTGAGGGCTATCTGAAGCTCCAGGTTGCTGTCATTGGGCTCAATCTTGATGTTGGACAGTATCTCTTCTGGCGCTGAAAGTTGTGTCCGATTATTAATAACATTCAGAACTGCTCCTACACCACATTTCCTTTCATGATTTCACAAAACACTTCATAGCGGAAACTATATAGTATTAAATGGCTGATGATTTGTAAATATTGTATTCAAACGTCTTGGTGCTTGTCACCCAATTAGGGATACTAAGTCCAATCAACATTTGCCTTAAGGTACTGTGAAAAACCATGTAAAAACCTAGGTCAGGTTAGCCAGATGTTCCAGCAGAGATTCATGAACACAAGAAATCAGTTCCCCCTCTTCCCCCCCTACCCTGTGGAATCTGTATTTACGATACGATTGGGTGTGTTTATCTCTTCTTGTAGCAGTTCAATAATTTTTCGTGCTGATCTGCGTTCTATTTTAAATTTATGACAACAAGCACTCGTTGCCTCACTTATTTCACTACTATCATTGACGGAAACTTGAACGTCAACACCGTCAACCACAGTACGAACTACCATTTTGGATATCAATTAGATCAATTAGAAAGATGATCGATGGATCGTTGGTAATCAGGGGCATCGATCTCTCGGGAATTTCTTATGCATCTCCTAATAATTTTGTAGAAACATCAAAATAATTCAACTTATAAAATAATTTGTACTCAACATCACACAGATCTCGAATGCTGAGTGACATTAAACTGCGAGAACAAAAACTGAATTAATTTTGAACTTTGATTAAAGATAATGCAATATTTGTACATATTAAACTGGATTGATAGCTCAGTCGGTATAGCGACTTGCTACATACTGCACTACTAAGGACGACTGCGATTGGATCAAACAAATGCAATTCGATATATTGCAATAGTTCAATTGTGATTGGTTCTGACTATCTAGTCCGGTCCGTCTGCGTAGAGATGGCAGGAGATCCAATGTTTCCTCCTTCCCCTTTGACAAATCAGCGAAATGGGAGTGTGAAGGGGTCGGAAACAGAAGCAGGGTTTTGTAGACACATGTAGACTGCCCCCCCCTTCTTCGTTGCTCAAAAATTGCTGTGTTTATTTCCAACACCAGTCTGCTTGTACAGGTTCTCACGGTCTCTTCGCTTGCGGATTTCCTATTTTTCTTTCTACCCTGAAGATGTCGGCGATACGTTCCTCCGAAACGTCGGTTAACACCACATCTACACGGTGCCACATCCCAGAAGACTGCTTTCTTCATAGTCACCGCCGTGAAAACCTCAAATCTTACATATCAACTCATGTTCACATGTTATTTTGTTTACTTTGGAAAGTGGTCTTGACATCATATGACATCTATGATATGTGGTTTTGATTAGTTGCAGGTTTCTGCGTTCAGATGTCGCAAGTGCATGCGGAATGGGAATTGCCTAGGCCTTTATTATATTTACAATTATTTTTCACAATAAAAAATCCTTGTAATTATTGTTTGTATGTTTCGTAGTTTCTGATCTGCTATCTGTTAATTGGAGGCTGGGTACTGTTGGAGTGTATTTGTGTTGATAATTTGCTCAACTTTGGCTGGGGTTGAATAATGCCGAAGGAAATGGTGGAGAAGTAAAGTGGTGATGTGTAGGGTGTTGGTTTATTTGTGACTACCAGCAATTGAATGCGGGTATTAGAACTAATTTTTTTATGCGTAGTTCTATAATATTTTAGTAATTTAAAATGTTTATATACGTCAGCAGGTTACCGTCGGCATATTACATTTTTGGGTCGTTTTCGTGGAACTTGAATTTTAGCAACGTGATTTTAATCGGAAAACTGTTGAGATGCTAGGTTGTCGTTATCCTAGGAGAGTAAAGAAATCTCCGAGACAAGTCTGTTGAGGTAATCGGCCCGAAGATTGTTATAAGCACAACAGTGCGAGTAAGTCAGGCTAATTTGCTCAAACTCATAGCTCATGATGAAAAACAGCGATGCACTGTGTTGAACGTATTTAACTAGTTAGACTTAAAACTAGTTTCATGCTGCGGAATTTTTTTCGATTAGATACGGGATTCATATTCTTGTATAGTGTAAACTGACGTATAAAAACGAATCACTTATATACACTGGGTCAAAATATATGAATTTCGTATAGAAATATAAAGAAGAGTTACTTTTTGAGTATGTAAAACATTATCCTACTGTAATCTTAATAAAACGGTGACAGGTGCGTGATGATGTACTTGCTCGTTTTGTTGTCAAATTAGTGTTCTAATTAGGGTTTTAGCATGGCACAACAAAATGCACCAGGTAAGTACTTTTTAGAGTAAGCACTTCATATATGCACGTGTCACCATATTGTGAAGGTGTTTCCTTTAGTGATTTGCCCTGTGTTGCTTTTATTGATGCCTCAAACTTTGTACACAACTAAGGCAAAAGTGCAGTTTTAAGTTAAATATAGGGTGGTCATGGTATTTGACTGGGCAAGGGAAGAAATATTGAGAATTCTGGAAGGTATCTGCTTGTGAGAAAAATGAGAGAGCAGAAGCTTTATATTAAAATGGATATTTGAGAAATAAGTTGTGTAGCACATAAACTGAGTTTGCTTCTGAGTAGGGTCAAACCACGTCCATCTGGTGTTTATCTTTAAGGTTGTCATCTGAGTCCAATACTGTGTTTTCTCTTTAATACTAATTTTCTTCATATTAGTGGGAGGATATGTAGCAGCTGTGCTGACATGGCCTTTCAGCTATGTGTGCTGTATTGGTTGCTGCCTTTGATAGTCATCCAGCCATGGCAATGTAAGGCTGAAGCAACATTGCAGAGCAAGTGGTACTGGTCTGCTTGCAGTATCAGCCTTACATATCAGAATTAATTTCCCCTGCAGGAAACACAGGACCCATACTCAGGAAGCAGCAAACACTATTTTTTATGACAGAATTGAACTTTGTGTATAGGACACATTTCTTGTGCTACAGGATATATTATTTTCAGTGTTTATGTGTACAAATAAGATCAGGGGGGATGTCAGCCCAGGTTCTGAGTTTTTGGAACATACAGTAAATTCTGCAAGACAGAGAGATACTCCAAGCAGTAATGTAGCTCCAGTCTCATATCACCCTTTTTTGTAATCCCCCCCCTACATGAAGGCCTGCAACTTGCATGAGATACTTGATAATATCACATAACCAAGACTACAAAGAGATACATATTTAATGATATAAAGCAGTGCTCTGTTAGAAAACTAAAGTAATCCCATTTCTGAACTATCTTGGGAGTTATTTGCCATTTTATGGAACTAGACTGGAACTGACATGCCATTTTGCAAGATTCTTCTGAACATGATTTTATATGGAGTTTATTTTTTTTTTCAGATGACTGATACGTTGTCTCCTCATCTGTTTTGGAAGTAGAAATACAACTGTTGTATGGTATCACCTTAAAATGACCCAGCAACAAGGAAGAAGTATATTGGCTATGATACTTAGAAATTTTATACAGTCACTAAGACCTAGGAAAATTCGAGGAGATCTTGTAGGGACAGATTATTTTGGAAATAAATATTTTGAAATTCCAGCCAATCCTCAAATAGGTAAAAGAAAACCATCAAGATGGTTTGAACCAAAACTGAAAGATGATTTCGAACAAGAAATACCAGCTGAATGGGAAGCATGGTTGAGAGGAAGACGAAAAGTGCCACCAGATGAAGAAGAAGTTCTTAGGAATCTTGCTATTATGAAGCAGAAGAAAGAGAATGCTAAAGCAAGTGCAGTAACAGAAACATCAGGTAATGAACAAAGCATGCTAGAAAAAGAGATAAAGGGAATGGAATCATTTCCAAAGTACACTGAATATGAAGTTATGCCAGGAAAAGAGCAAGGAAAGAAATAACTGTACAGTTGTTTGTTTTAGCTGTCGTATGGTCTCAAATTAACATAATGTAAATATGAAAATAAATCTTAAATCATATTGAATTTGTAATATTGTTTTGTCCAAATGATCCTACATTGTTCACAACTGAGGCAAAGGTACTGTGATGGTAGGCAGCTCAGCAGGGCCTGGCCCCAAGCCTCAGGGTATCTCCTTTTGCCTTCAGGGAGCCAAAATTTAACTAAATATTATTTTGTCAACATGTCATCTCAGTCTTAGCCATAAAGATACAACATACACAACTGATAAGAAACTGAGGAGATGAGGTATAACTGCAAAGAGGAACACAAACTCTTCAGTTGTGCTCAGGCTCTGAGACAGTGCTGCACTTGTGGCCAGTCCTTTGCCAGGTTTTAATGTCATTGGATGTGTCATTAGCACTAGGACAAAAAGAAAGGAAAAAAAAAAAAAACCTTATGCAAAGCAAAAATATGCAACACCTGACATGCATGTTATATGAAATTATGTATTATGTATGAAATTATTAATAGTGCTTCCCTAAGTGTATAGGTTGTATTGCATAAAATGGGGGAAATAATTGTGAAAGAAGTGGTAATGTTTTAATTTTTAAGGTACTATCTCAGCACTTGTCTGAAGTATCTGAGGAAGATCCTCAGGAGACAGCTATCCATCAAGTTAACAAGCAAACCTGGGAACCTCCCAGTTATTTAGGGAACAAATGTAGGAAAATCATGTCCCAGATAGCATGGAAACTCTACAACTCTTGGAGGTGACAGCAGCAGCCGAATGTAAATCTCCACTGGTCCAGTAATTCTAATGGACCCAATTAAGCAGGTGCTTTCTCACCTTTTCACATGATGGGAAGAAGTCCAGTTTCCAAAACCATCAACTTCTCTCAGAATAATATAAGATGGAAATGTTTGCTTCCTTCTCTTTAATTATTCCAGAAACAGTAGAGTTGTGGAGGAAAGTGTATTGGTAATAAAAATCTTTTGCCCCAAACATTTTTCATTCTGATATTTAGCCAGTTATGGAAGAGTTAAACTCAGAAATGTGTGCAGATCTTCATGCAACATCCATTATTGTCCAGTTTTAACAAACACTGGAATGCATTGAAAATTTTCAGTTACCCAAGTATCAAATGTCATGTAAACAGTCCTAAAATGTAACTTTCATTAGTGCTGACCTTCTCATTGCAATTGTGTGTATTCAGATAGTATAAAACACTGCAATATTAGCAAGTTAGGAATTTACACTGTTTTTTGTAATATAGGATAATTTTTGTGTTTATTACTACAATTTATTGTGCCAAAGCAGAAACATGATAGATTTCACTCATTGTGACCTTGTTCACATGGTAATGAACCTGTGGGATCCATAGCAGTATTGCTTGGCCTTTATCAATATCTTGGAGGGTAAGTACACAGTCTTTCCCTTAAATTGACCTCCATATGGCAAACTACCTACTGTATTTACCCAAGTGGAAGATTACATCTCCACTAAGAAACATGAAAAATAAATATCTGAAAACATACATTACATTTAGTAAGTCACATGCCTTTATACTGTTTCATCAATTTCACTCGCTCCCTCTCACACAACCATTTGTATCTTCTTTCCTCACATTCAGGGTCTTCATCATCCCCACCTTCACTACTGCCACTCTTTTTCAATGGAATTTACTGCTTCTGTTTCAGCTCTTGTGGTACTCTAAGCAAACTGATGGTGGCTTATGGTTCTACACTTTGAAACCTCTCTCTCAAACCACTGAAAGCTGTAAATCTCAAAGAGGCATAAACCCACTAAAAGCCTAAAATCTTTCATCTCACACTCAAATCCTATTGTTTTTCTAACTTCTTACATTTGCATAAGTATGGTATACATCCAAAAAATAACCTCAAAAGGAGGTAGATTGCAAAGTTGCACACTATTTCACCATTCTGGTTTGAAAAGTCATGCAAAGTGTGCACTAGAAATACCTGAGAATAGGCTTGTTCTTTGCCAGTCTTGGCATTTAGGTCCCCCAAGTATAATTATATCATGTTTTGCGGTATTCTCATACACCCTTTGAAGATCTTCATAGAACTGTTCCTTGATTCCAATATCTTTATCTTGGGTTGGGGCATGTGCATAAATTAAGATTATGGTATTTCCCTCATTCTGAGTTTACAAAATTTCTCATTATATGGTTGAAATGAGATATTCTTTATTTCTTTTGTTACCATGAATTCAGTACCCAACTGCCTGGCATGTTGCTAAGCAGCTGTAATATGAGTATTATCCTTTTTTGACTACTTCTTTCACACATATATCTTTTTCTTAATGCATTCATCTGCAACTGAGTTCTAAGCATTTGATCTACTATATCATGCATTTTTCCCGGTTTTAGCAGTCGCCATAACATAACTCAGGATATTTTGTGGTGAGTGCACACTGTTCTTAACTTAAAATCTGTCCCTCTCACTTGCTATGTTGAGAGCACAATATGGCACAAATATCATTTTATAAGCTTAATCTGATTAAGAAATGTTGATATATAGGTATTTCACAAAGATGACCCCACCATTTCTAGCTCAGAAAATGTGTGGAGGTGGAGAACTGTCTTCCATCTGGGTAAATATGGTAGCACACCATCACACATGACCAACAGACTACAGATAATGGAACATCTGTAAAGGAAATGTTTACTGAAATGTCGAATAGCATATTTTTCTATGGTACTTTCATAAATAAATGCAACTTCTCCCCTTGTCTGCACCTTGCACACACCAACCACCCTGATATGACCAACATTTTGCTCTGCTACATGTATCCTCACTCTTCTTCTTACCTGCATATTCCTCACTGCATTCACCAATGACTCCTGTGATATCTTCACAAACTTCAAAAGCAAGCAGACATCTACATAGCCACCACTGCCATAAATTTAAAAAATCTGATTTTCTTATTACCAACTGCTCAAATCACACTTCACTTTTTCTCCAGTAATGTCAGGATGAAAACAAAACAAATACAATCTCTCTCTCTCACACACACACACACACACACANATAAATAAATAAAAAAAAAAAAAAAAAAAAAAAGATAATTTTGAGGCAAATCATGTTTAGATCATTTACAGTTAAAATTAAAAATGACTCAGGAATAATTTTTGCCCATTTGTTCATTGTACCATACTAACCACAATGTCAATAATTTACTGTCTCTTCTTTTCCATACAAATCACTATGGTATTTTTATACCATCAAAGAAATTCACCATCCACAGAAATATCAGCCTATTAATAAAGCACTTACTTTTAACAGTCACAGGTTAAATGGGGATATCACTGTAAGACACAGTTTCTAAAACTCTCACCATACTAACAATTTCCTGAGACATGGTTACTTACCGTGATTTGCTATCTCTGCAGAAAAGTGTCTCGATGCAGCAAGTATAGTTTCCTCAGAAGGGAGAGAATAAAAAGGACACTTTACTGAGAACATTTTAATTCCTACTTTTCATTAAAACCATCCAACCACTGGATGCTGTTTAACATTGTAGTTGATGACTTTATCAGAATTCATTATCGAACAGATTTAAGTCTTCCTTTTCAGAGAATGTACTGTACAATCACATGTACCCCTTCGTTGTCTCACTCTCAGTATTTGGAATGCTGTTTCCAGGGACTTCCACAAAACAGTTAACACCACTTCTATAAATTCCACAAGGAGTATGTTTCACTGCTCTCAACTATTACACTTGTCCAACAAAAATAGATCCTGGAAGTCTCAACACAAAATGTCAGCTTGCATTATGAGATATCTTTCTCCACAGGAGAAATCAACAGCTTCAACCAGAGAAGTCATTGTGATCAAACAGGGCTTGATCATACAGTTCACCTTTCACTAAGCGTCCTCCAAAGTACCTTCCATTTAATGCATCCCGGGCACTCTCTGCTTCTAAAATTAAAAGAAAAATAAATATTTAAGAAATAGCATTTTACATACAATTTACTGTTACTTCATGGCACAAGTAACCTCATCAAGAATTCATTTTTGTTTCAATTATGAAAAAAGCAGTCTTTGCTCAGTTAAATCTACATACTATACACATATCAGTACTTCCATTGAGAAACAGCAATGCAGTTGGGAAAGCAATTCAGACTGGAACATAATACTAATGCGTAATTGTTGGCAGATAAAAATTTATCAACTTGCTTGCAGAATGGAATACAAACACAATAAAACCTCATTAATTTGAAGTGCTTGGAGCTGGGGGGGGAACAAGACTTTATGCAATTCTGAAATATGCAATTTTAGGTGGGTAGCTCTCCTAATGTTATGTTGTAAACTATGATTTTTTATTTAATTGGTAATCTCCTTTGTCATTTATTTACTCCTTTAAATGGATACTAAGTAATTCAGTACAAGTTACGAGTACATAAAATGCAAGCCTGCAAACAATAACTCACATTTGTTAAACTCTGATGTTAGTTTATTGCTTCTTAAAACGGGGCTCAAATGCCCTTTGTTTCAGAGTCTGCTTATACACTTCTGAAACAAAATCCCATAGCTTTAACAATTCTCTTATTGACACCACTTGAACTTATAACAGAATCAAACACCAACAATCTCACTGATGTATCTTTGTGAGATGGGAACATCTGAAGCAAATGCATTTCCTCTGTCTTCTTTTCTTCTCAGTTGCCACATGCTCGTAGCTAGGGCACTCCAAATTATCTTCTGATCATCAGTGGTTGGGACAGATTTGCCAACACTGAGAAACTTGTCAAAATTGCTGCAACAATCCTTGTAACTTAAAATTCCACCCACTTGTTATCTTCAGCTTCTTCAGAGTTGACTTCACATGGAGTGCCAAAACCACATTTTGCAAAAAATTTCTGGATAATTACACAAAAGAGATTCCCATAACCCATCAACACTACACAAGGCATCCACAATGTTCCATTTTCTAATGTCTGCTGCAGGAACATTGGTCAATATGCTTCAGCTTAACATCCTTGTTGCTGTAAGCAGAACATTGACCTGGTATTAAAAGGACATTCCTGTTTTGGCAAGCCTATTTCCTTTCAAAAGAGAACAGCCACTCACTCAGCAGTCTTCGGTTACCCATGCGTTCTTGACAATATGTACTCCTCACAAGGATAATGCCTTAAGTCTAACAGAAAATGTGGCTTCTCAGACTTTCCGAAGTTTTCATTGCCATCTGCATTAAAATACAAGAGAACCGTCACTCCATCCTTATACACTTTCTCTCTGACATTTTTTTTAACTAAAGCCAGCTTCCTCTTCAGTTGCAAACTACAAACACTGCAGTTTTGTCCATGTTACAAATGTCCTTTGGAGCATGGTGTGTGATGAGAAGCGTCATATTTTTGTGGTACTTCTCTGCTGAATCAATGTTTGCAGTAGCACCTTCCCTGCTCATGGCTTGCCATGTTATGTTCCACCCCTACTCGAAATGCTAAGTCATACAATTGAGCACTTAAATTCAATGCCTATCTTCAGCATGACTTCATCAGCCTTCTCTTTTGCCGTACAACCATCTGCTACAATACTTCTGACTTTGCACTACAAAACCCTTCAAACAGTCCATTCTCCACATCACCCCCTTGTAGAAACTGCTGTTCAATGAATCCTGATTTCTATATATGTTAACAGGGTGGAGAGTGCAATTCCACATACTTGTGCTGCTTCACTTCTACTTCTTTCTTTTTCATAATCACTTTTTAGTTTTTTCAGCAATCGTCTTTCTCGAATATTCTCTCTTCTGTTCACTCATGTTTCACACGAGTGAGTTGATTAAAAAATGAAAACCTATTATGCGAAAGATTCAACTCAATACACTCGGTATTTACATGTCCCTAACATAATGGCTATTCTTTCTCATCTGTACTGAACAGTAATAGTGTTCTCATGCAGTTGTGAATGGTTGAGACCAACATAAAGAGTTGCCAAATGCTCAACGTCACCCATATTACTTCACAGATGAAGGATTTCAGAGGGGCAGAAAGTACTATTTAGATTTTTCTTTTGTGTAAAATTAGCAGGAATCATGATAAAATATTTTTTTTTACTTCAAATTTTAAGCCACTGCTGGGCTGGAATGCAGCTTCAAATTAAACGTAACAACTGTATTTCGAATTAACCACTTAAAAACATTAAGTTGGGGAATATCACTTACTTTGAAATGATCAAATTAATGAGGTTTTATTGTAATACGTGACTCATAGAACAACTCAAAACGTATTTGTATCTGGAATGTTCATAAACATGAATTCTTGCTTGTAGAAAAAGATCATATGACAGACCAAGACAAAAGAATATATGGAAACTGTCAAGAATTCACAAATTCCTTAGCAGGAAATGCAGTCGAATACCTGAATATTCAGAGAATGCCCTTTACCAGAGGGTTAGTAAACCCTATCACCACTGAGTATTTAGTGCCCAACCATACCATCAGTGTTGCAGTTTTAGCCTTTAATGGTCTTGTGTCTCATAAGCAGGTTAGTGTATTCCATGTTGCAGTAGGCTGAGCAGTGAATTCCTTCAATGTTAATACTGATATCCTCTAGTTAAAATATGGCTACCAGCAAAAAAGTGGGAGATTTAAAATCTCCTATTACCTACAACAAGATCACACTACAATAAGATTTGCTGTCCCTGTGTAGGCAATACAGTCTAATACATGGCCAATTTTAGTCACAGAGCCTGAAACGTTTTAATTCCAAACTCTTTTCTTTTTTCTGAAAGGCTGAAATGCTAAGAAGGCTGATCCTTAAAGCCATTGAAACTCTTTATCAACATGGAGATTTTCAAAAAGGCTGTATATATATTTTCCAAAGTTTTTCAGTAACAAGTTTATACAGCCTGTAACTTGAGGAATGGCACTGTCACTGATGCGCACTATTCACAACATGCAGCAAGTACCTATCCACAAGACACTAAATCTGCAAACTGATGGATTTCTTGGGGCAGATTTGCTGACCAGTATTCTAGTATTATTTTTTATAAAAATCCTGAACATACGTACTGCAAAAAAAAACAAAAACAAAAACAAAAAACAAATCATTCATTTAAAGTAGTACTTTTCCACTGTTTAAGATGAGAAGAATGTGTGGATGATGTCCTGTTTGTGACATACATGTAAAATTTCCTTCTTTCATCAACTGTTTATAATATACCAGGTGGAAACAACAGAAAATAGCTTATTATTATTGTTTCCTTGGTTATATTATGCCTGCACCAGTGTCATAAAATTTGTTCAATGGGATCGAATGCATTATCAGACCATTTGTACAAAGTAGCAGGACTCAAGTCTACATTTACATACACGTGACTGTGCTGTTTCTTCACTGACATTCTCACCTGAACTGTCAATGTCAAGTGGAATATGTTCAGATCACTTTCTTGATTATGAAATTTATCCTTTCCAACAGGGAAATTCATACACTCCGAGACTCATATGATGATATGTTTTGTACATGACAAAGTATATACTCACAAGATTTGAACACTTTCAGAAAGTTAGTCCGGGGGATGTGTGTTTCTAAAGGTCACACTCATAATGATGCTCGCAGAGCAATGTTGCATGAGACTGTAAAGTTAGGTTCGGCAACACAACGATGAAAAGTATTTACTTATGCATGTGTATCACTTCTGAATATAATAATCTTACCACTCATTTGTGAGAACTCGACAAAGATCTTTACAATAACTTCAGCATCGTCGTCATCTTCGGACTGTTTCTCATTGTAAATGATCACCCTTTCCACTGTACCATATCTGCAAGATAAAGTTAATCTGGTCACTAATGTATCCATATTAACCTGGGGGGGGGCATAATGAAAACCCTTTCAAACACATTCATCCATTTAACTTGCCAATGGACAGAATAAAACAAACAAATGTCTCTTGCACAAGGAATATCTCATCAAATTATTTCTTAAAAATGCCAACTTTCCAACCACTTTGTACCAGGCTACAGTGCAGTTTACATGGATGTTAACATGGAATAAACTGGCCGATGAAAGGGCCCAATAGTGAAGCTATGGAATAATGAATCTCTAAGACTCAGCAATGATAAATTTCTTGAATGGCTCAGACAGAAACATCTAGCTGTTAAACATGATTTCATATTCAATGTACTCAGTATATTTATGTTTATGATTTCCAAAATGCATTTCAAATTATTCACTTTTAAATTACATATTATGAAAGTGAAATTACAGCATTAAATGGTCCGTCAACACACACTGATCTAAATAACCACTTATAGAAATTATAGTTCATATTTTCCAAAATGTCTGCAGTCTGAAAACTTACTTGCTGCACTCATCTTGGATTTCTTCCTGTAGTGTTTCATCTACATCATCAGGTTCCACCATGTTTCGAAGAATTACAACTCGGCTCTGCAATAATAAAATAAATGTTATAATCTCATTTCTCATGACAAAGAAAAGCAATGTGAAGTATGCCCCTTACTATGGCAGTGGAAAGTCATGCAGAGCACATTCCTGACAATGACAAATCAGAGTTGTGCAGGGCACACTTCAAACCAAGACAACAGAACCTGTGACAGAAGCACTCGAGTGAAGGTTGAACCAATTACAGGAGAACCAAGCAGCTGCTGAGAAACTTACTGAGCAGTATGATAGTGGCAGTGAAATATGTTCCTCAATAAGGGTCATGGCCTTCAATTTTTACAGCACTATCATGGCATACACCTTCAAAAATGTAGCAAAACTGAGGAAGTCCAGTCAAAATAGTCTATTCCCTCAGATCTGATGGATTACTTGCTTAGCAGAAGCCGAATATTCCACCACTAAAGCACACAGGCTTGGTACTGCTAACAGCTAGTAAGCCTATTTCCACCCTCACACACACCCCAGTACTACAAGTGTCCTGTTTCAGAAACTTGTCAGGGCTCCTGCAAGGACTTCAATTTGTTCTTATATTACTGCAAAAAGGGATCAACACTAATTCTGTAACAAAATATGATTCTACCATCCACTGGCACTAATTTGGACTACGTAGCAATACCTCTTCATTTTCTACGTAGTCACTGTCATCAACCAATGTCTTTGGCCTCTGCTCAGTAACTATATGACTGGGTTAGCGGGGCCCGAAAAATAGGTTTTCTATTACCCAAAGTGATCACTGATGGTAATGTGTGCCATTCCATGGACTGGTGCAATGTTCTTATGTGATTTAGTTTCAAGCTTACAGACTGGTGAGAGAAAATAGTGCTGTGAAAGAACATGAAGAAAGGTTATGCATGTCTTTAAAAAAATCAGAGCTCTATAAGAGGGGCAGGTTAATTTTATATGCAGGGTAAGAACTAATTACAGTACATTTCAAATAGATTCTAAAGGGTTCTGACATTGGTGTAACTCAGAATTACTGGGTTTTCCAACTATGTCCATTGTCTGGTATTCTAGAAACTAGAAAACACGTTTTAGAAACTGGATCTGTTTCCAACCTCAGGTGAAAATGGGGGGGGGGAGATACCTACTCAGCTGGGTACCCAGTGATTGAGGTTAGCTCTTTCCAAGGGACCCAACTGAGTAGGAATCTTCCACCCATCACCTGAATATCCAACTGAGTAGGAATCTTCCACCCATCACCTGAATATCTAGTTTCTGAAAGATGTTTTCTAGTTTGTAGAATACCAGAGGATGGACAAAGTCCAAAAACCCAGTAATTCTGAGTAAATTTCAAATGTTAGCCAAAATGGGTCAAAGTGTGCCAAAGAGAACTGACAATAACTCTCAAATTATATTCAACTTTCCTTACTACTAAAATACAATGCAAATTGTTGGGCTCAACAAAAGTGTCAAATAACTTGGGGATGGGATTAAATAAGGAAAATATACTGCAAGCAGATGTGGAAAACTCCCGAACTTCAAAGGCCTTCATCGTCTTCAAGCTACTGTGAGCTTTAACCCATTCAATATCCATACAAGGACATCCTGCACTGTGCTGTGGTGGCCCTTCTGCATGAGCATGCAGTGTATGTTTATTTAACAAGGGTTTCAGGAACAACAATGAATACACAAACTGCCTATCACACAAGTTCATAACCTGCAAAAACTGCTTTCTGTACTGTCACTGATCTATTTATAAGGTTCTACATAAGATGAATCTGTAATGGGAAAACACACTGAACTTTTATTTTCTTAAAAAGAAGCTTGGCAAACAGAGGAATAGGTACATGGCACAATTAACCTCATTTAACCCTACAAGTGCTTACTGTTAAAATATCTGACTGCATATGGCACTTGCTGGCATTTTATTTGAACTAAATAGAAAAAAGGATTTTATTTTCATACATTTGGAGTTCTTACAGAGATTTTATATATTAATTTCCCCATGAAATAATAATAATAAAAAAAAAACAAAAACAAAGTGACGGCTAAGAAGGAAAACCGAATATTCATAACAAACCTGCGAATACTGTGGAAGAGGGAATTATCTCAAAGTGGCTGCATGAGGAGTGATTATTCAGAACGTGATACAAAACCAAACAAGACCTGTGGTAACCCTATTAATGTTTTGTAACAAAAATATGAACCAAATTTACTAATATAATAAGCAGCATCCAAAATTTTATCAACAATTATAAAAAAGTACCAGTACTACATGTAATTTTCATTTGTATTGTTTTCATTAATTACAATTTAAACATTAAAATACACGGTGTTTCACGACTTTAGAGCATAACTGCAGGAGGTGATTTCCTAGGTCTTTGTGATCAAAAAAGTTCATACAAACATGTGTCCGATTTTGGACGGTTACATAGTTACGACCGTTTTTTCAGTCCCGTACACGCCCTTGCATGAACTGCGTCTATCATCTGGCGGGTCGCTATTTTTAGCCAGCTACAGATAGAGCGTTCTCATTATCTCGACACTTGAGAGGCACCTAAGGCGTGGTGGGTTGGTATGTCTGGCCACGGCTAGTGTGGCGACTACTGGTGTTCAGAACAGTTCTCATCTTGGTGTGTCTGTTACGTTCACGATGCCACTTACATTTTCATTTGAGGGGTATGCAGATATGATTTATGTGTACGGGTTTTGTGACAGTAACTCAGTTCTTGCCGTAGCTGAATATCAGCAACGGTTTCCGAATCGTAGAATACCGAACCAGAGAGCGTTTACTGGAGTTTACCAGGCATTGCGAGATACCGGTAGACTTCCCAGCATTCGTATTGCAGCCAAGCATGGTGTTAATGAAGGCGTCCATGAAGAAGGCATTGTAAGTATGGTACACCGCAGCCCACATACAAGAACGTGAAGAACTGCCAGCCAGGTCTCGACTTAAGCCCACTGGATTATTGTGTGCGGGGATGGATGAAAGAACTGGTTTACAGTGTGAAGGTGGCAATGCGAGATGCTTTGCTCAGTCGCATTCTGGATGCCATTGACCACATAAGAAACAGCCAGCTGAAGCTGCTACGTGCAGCTACCAAGCAGCAGCCTGTTGCAGCAGGCGGTGGCATTTTCGAAAATCAGCTTTAAGCATCAATCAATTCAAATTAAAGGTAATTTCAAGAAGTTAACTTTACATTCATACTTTAAATGTATCATGTATTATGCTGGTTTATAATTTTGTTCCGTTTATTGTGAGTAATCATTACCTTCTCTTCTGAGTTTAAAACGGTCATAACTCCGTAACCGTCCAAAATCGGACACATGTTAACTTTTTTGATCACAAAGACCTAGGAAATCACCTCCTGCAGTTATGCCCTAAAGTCGTGAAACACCCTGTATAGTACAATTTATTTTCTCCACTATTATGTTTAATATAAATTTAAAATTAAAGCAATGCTTTTGAATGGTCTATAGTTTTGCAGTGTTTTTACTTGGAACTGCAGCAATTAAGCCTGCACTTGCAGGGACACAAACTTCAATATGGTGTATAGTTAGGAAATATAACAGAATAGATACTGATGCTCTACCTTAGCAAAATATTGTAATGTTTATCTGCCATATGAGTGCAGCACATGGCAAGTAAGTTGAAAGTAATAAGAAACTGTCATATGCTAATGTTATTTCCAAATTTACAAAACCATCACTTCCTAAAAACCTACACAGTCCTGTTTCTTGGTTTAAAATGTTAAATGGAGTATAAAAAGGTAAAACATCTATTTATTCCCAATTAATTAGGTTTGCCAGCAATAAATATATAATTCAGCACATGACAGGTAAGACAAATGAAATAACAAACACAACTTGATTGATAACCCATCAGAGTCCAGATTTTCACTTATCTCAGTAAGCAATTACGGAAAACATAAGCATATTGGTAAGCGGCCATTTAATTTTTTCCATGATGCAATATAGGCAACTGTTCTCAGGTCACAGCAATACAGGAGTTAACTTACTTTACAAAATTTATGGCAGTAAATAGTTAACACACAAAAGAAAAGTAAAGCAACTTACTTATGAAGCCATGGGGGTGAAATAAGACTAGAACTGGTGATTATAGCATGGCATTCAAAAGAACCGCAGGAAAACTCTGAACTTGAAAGACTGGGTACAATTTCACATGATGTGTGGACTATTAGCTGTTTCTGCTGCCTCACCTCAACTTTGCGCATTAGTTTCTGCATTACTAGGTGGCGTGCACTCTGACCCTTGATGGACATGTTCTCCTGCTGCTGCAATGTCTGGGGCTCGGTTTCCTCCAGCAGTTTCTTCTGCAGTTCCTCCTGCTGCTTTTGCTGCACAACACATCAAGCTTCAAGTTCAGAATTGCGAAATCTTCTGAATGCCATTTACACAACAAAATAGGAAGCAAACAAAATGAAAATGCATGCAAAATTATTCTGATATTGGAAATATGATAAAATGACATCACAAAACCATAGAAGATGTTGTGTCTCCCTGTCTTATTTTGATGAAAATTAGTTTTGGAGTAACATTCAAGTTGACCTATCAATCTCATGGATACTGGTCCACTATAAACCTACTTTACACGAAGTTCAATTATATATGTACATATATATTATTTGTACATATACAAAAATGTGTGCAACAAAATAGGTAACTCTATATAGCAGTCCCCTTTCTGAGAAGCTAATAGTTACTCAGCCTATCAAGAAATTTCCCACATTTTGTGGACTCTGAAGGTCCATTACCATATTCACAAGAGCCTGCACCTGGTATAGTCTTGAGCCACATAAATCCAATCCTGACCCTCACAAGCTATTATACTAAAGCATCCACTTTATTACTGCCTTCCAACCCAACCAAAATTTTGCATGCATTGCTCACCTCTCTCATACATCCTACATGCACCAACCACCCCATATTGATTTCATCACCTCAATGTGATCTAGAGCACAAATTATGAAGCTCCTCATAATGGAATTTTCCACAGCATTTTATTAGTTACCCAATATTCTCTTCGGCATCCTATTCTCAAACACCTTCAATCTACATTCTTCAATTATTCTGAGAGCCAACCAATTACTGTTTTGTATATTCTTACATATTTAGATAGGAGACAAAGGATTCTGAACTCATGTATCAGCAACATCAGGATATTTGTTAACAATTCCACATGTACTCAACATACATTACACAAACAACACTGTAAGAGTGAGTCGTCACAGTAACACACACACATACAAGCACTTCCCTATTTATGCAACACCTATGTTCCAAAGTATGACTCACGAAAGATGACACTGCATAAATCGAGCAGTTTTCCGCTCTCCAATGTATTCCTCCTCCCCTACCCCTACATTACTGCACTCCTCCCCCTCCATGACTTTCTGAGTTGGCCAGCAAAGAATTTGCATTAGAGTTAAGTGGTATTAAATGAAATTGGTGTAAATTAGCTGAGTGCATTGAAACAAAACTGAATTTTTTTAATTTGTACATGAGTACTCGCACGTGTAGGCATGTGCAGAATGTAAAGTGTCCATCTGTCCATTTAATTTCTGAATCTTGAAAATTAACAATGACAGGAGGTAAGCGTTAATACAAAAATTGTTCATTTTTCGACAGAAAAACTTAGTAACTCTGTTGTTACATGCAAGAGCTGCTTGATACAACTATTAGGATAAATTATAAATTACTTTAATTTACTACTGTTTCAAAAACTAATACTACACATTTCATTACACACAGAGAACCTCTCCTGCATTGTACCAGCAGATTCCAGGTTCAAACCCAATCCACATACTGGCTATTCTGAGGTATTCTGTGGTTTTCCTCAGCCTCTCAATACAGATGTTGAGAAAGTACCTCAAATCAGGCCAAGGCAAACTTAATTCCATATCCATTCCAATTCATTATTCATTAATCCCACCATTTGAAGCTATATAGTTTAACGTACTAACAGCACTGTTCAATAAACCACATATAAAATACAACTTTACCAGCAATTTCAGCCATGATAAAATTTTGAAAAAAATAGGCAACCAAAGTATTAGTTACAAATGAAGCAACGATTATAATCGTTTTGCTAATTATCAGCAAAATGTGAAAAACAAAAGTTACAGCTACACAAATAGGGACCTGAATAAACTGTGTTAAGAAAGTGTTCAAAGTTGTTGCCAACAGGCCTAAAACAAGCCCCGCATCTTCAAAAGAATCCCTGTGGAACACAGTGAAGTTCATCAGACAAAATCACAGCAACTGCATTCTTTACCTCATTCTGGAGGGCTTCAGCAGTGCAAGGTGTGTTCATGTACACTCTTCCATTTAGGTTTCCTTAAAAGTTGTCACATATGCTAAGATCTGGCAATCTTGGAGCCCACAATCCTGTACTAACGATCTGTCCTCAAACACTTCTTGTAGTGAACTCTCTCAATTTCATGCAGTATGCATAGTAGCACCATCATGCTGAAAGTAGTGATACTGTCTTTCACTGTCAGCTGTTCAAAAAATGGTTCCAATGTATTCCTAATTGTACTGGTCCGATTTCACAGTTTTGTGGTAATACACTGGACTGATGACTTGCTTAACACAGGACACTACACTCCAATTTCCATGTCATGTAGCAGAATTTGGTGAACTGTGAAGGACACTCCAGATTTGTGTGTTCTTAAATTTACATAACCACTTAGGCGAATGTATGCTTCATCAGTTATGAACAGCATCTCAGGATCTACAAGTCCATATTTTTCAGAATCCAGTTATACATCCAAATGCTTTGTTAAGCATCAATAGATTTAACCTCAAGCACAGCTAAAACTCTATGTAGATGAAACTTTATTACTGTAGTTGCCTTAGTAGCAGAGTTTGGTCTGTTTCATCCTGGTCCATCACACTAACAATATTATAAAAGGTTAATTAATTCCATCTAGTGACTGATGAAGTTTTTTTCCTTTTTAATCTTTTATCCTTTACATGCTTCGGTCTTAGAGACCATCTTCAGAAGGATATCAATACAATTAGAAACCACTATTACAACGTTTTGTGAATGCTAAAATATACATACAATGCCACCACAATACAATGAGTACAAAATCTAAACTTTTTAACAACTCCAGCAGCTTGTACTAATACGTTAAAATATTTATAAATTATGATTAGTATGTTTAAAAAGATTGTTAATTTTTTTTAAACCAAGTTGGTTTGTGTCCCTTTTATTTCTTCTCTTTGAAGGAAGCCAAGTGTGTACCGCCTTGCGGTTCTGTTCTTTGTAGAAGAGGATTCTTCAGTGTCGTCCTGTTGATGTTCGAGGCACGCTGTGTTGTTTCCAAAGACCAATCGCTAACTGTGTCAAATTTCTTCAGGCCTCTCATTTGTGAGCAGTGTTTTCTTGTGATGTCATGTTTTATCACGCACTGACTCTGTGGTCTGCCAATTCTTTAAGTCTGGACACGCAAGATTTTTGCAGACATGAATGAATCAGGGTATTTGCAGAAGAATCTTTCCCTGCACTTCATGTGATTCTCTTTCATATATATGTTCCAACAATATATGCCCTAATGAGTATATATAATAAGTATACAACTGTAAAATGGCCCCCATTTTTAAGCACATTACCCAAACAAATTTCTATAGATATCTTGAGTACCAGGAGACATCTATAAACAGGCAATAACTACAGCAACAAGTGCTAAGTTCTCAATCATGTTGGAAATATCCAATTGCCATTTGAATGAAAACAGAAGCACATACAGACAGAGAAACATTTTCTATGCCTTAGCCATCTTGCAAGTGCAGAGGTACTGGATGTATAGGCCTTTGTATTTGATGGAGGCCAGTCATCAGCTTCATGCTACTTGCTGCTATAACCATGGGGAAACTGCAACCGCATTTCACAAGAGGCTGGGTACAAACCAAAGACAGTCCAGACATGGGAGCAAACAGAAAAGTTTCTGCTCCTCCCAGAAAGTGAACTTCAACTTCCAACACACAGCTGGTCTCCTTATTGACCAGGCTATTCCTTGCACACAAACAATAATAATGCTAACCCTTCTGCAGTCCTCCATTTGTTACTCAGTGTAGTCATGGGAAGTACAGTTCAATAATTGATCATAACTTAAGGGCCATCTAAAAAGAGCCCACATTTTAAAGGTTATATTTCATGAAAAAACAAACTTACAGTGACAATTTTTGTTGCATGGCAATCTTCCAGGCAATACTACAATTATTTATTGTTCTTTTAGCGCTGTTTCCCTTTTATACAGGTTGATGGATGAAAAGTCTCTATATTGTCTGTCTCACCCAAATCTCCACCTCATCATAAACCATCCCAAGAAACTACATTCTGAAACCAAGGCAAAGGCCCACAACTAGCAGGAGAGTGACTTTAGGACATGCTTCAATAGCAACAATGCCAGAATACAGCAAACTACTTTGAAGATGATCAAACCAGTTTGTAATAACATTTAATAGTGTTGCCTGCAACCACAGTCTCACTTGTGAAACCCTGTATGCACACACAAACATTTTCTTGATACATCTCAAGTCTGCTGGTAGATTAGCTCTTCAGAATATACGTATCACTTAACTGCTGTTTCTTATGTGGTGCTTGTCTATTGTATTCATGATAATAAATATCATCACGCACACCACTTTCAGCAAACACAGCAGTCACCACCACACTGAAGATGTGTCATGAGCTCCAATTTAGAGGATGACATAGGTCAACACAACTGTGCGCGCACGCGCACACACACTCAGAACAAAACAAAAATTACGGCTGTAAGTTTATTATTTCATTATACTGTGATGTGTTGCGCAATGGAGGACACCCCCTCACTCCGCCAGCCGTGACGTGCCGTGCCAAGCGGAGACGAAGTGAGCTGAGTCCAAGCACTCTGGTCGCTATGCAAAGTGAGTAAACAGTGGTTGCTAGAGACGGCGGTAATAAACAGCAGTACCCATTATGTAAAAAGCAAACACAGCTACTAGGCAACAAGGAAGCGAGGCGTTTCCCGTTGTCTGGCCGAGGGTTTATAAGAGAACTACACTGCCTATGAAGCCAGTTAAAATGTAGCAGCTGCCAAAGAGAGTTTTCAAGGCAGCAGCCACGGAGTGAGTTTCAGTTTAGCAATCGCAGGGAGAAGACCCGAACGCATGATCAGAAGAGTTATTGTGTGATGCTCAGTGATAATTTGTGACAACTGAGAAGTGATTGGGAATGTGTAATACAGTGACACTTTTATAGCTCCCACATTATAACTACGTGAAGAAGACTACTGAACAGATCATTTTGTGGGGTTTATAATTTGTCAATACCCATTACTTTGTTATAATTAATTGTAGTTTGGACTTGTAGCTTGTAAATAAACTAATTAACAAGCCGAACAGTTTCATCAGTAAGGAAAACGTTACGATATATATATATATACACACACACACACACACCCACATACATACATAAAAAATTAAGGCATTCTTTTCCGATGACCCTATATTTCTAGCCATTGAAAGACTAGTATTTCCTGTCAAAGAGGAGTGACTCCAATCTCTGAAACTTATTCTGATCCTCTTACTCTGACATTCTGCATTAGCTAACTCACAGCAAGAATATATGGCAATCAGTGGTACAACAGTTATATGGAAGGAAAGCAGCCTTTGCCTATTTTGAGGTACTATAGCACATACAATAAATCTGCCAGACCATCAATCTGCCTTACCTGTGCCTGCTCCTGAGCCCTCCGCAGTACATCTTGAGGACTGTTTACTTGAGCAGTCATTGGCTGGCCAACCACAGTCGGAGTGAGAACAACTGGAGGAGGTATTACTGTTACTGCTTGCCCTGGAATCATTACATTCTACTAAGATTTGTAACTTAGCACACATGCTGACAATATCAAGATAAAGTTATAAATTGTACATATCAATAGTAATGTGCTTTGGTCTTGCTGACATATTCCTTTAAATTTCAAGAACTAATATTCGGTTCTATACATGCTACATTGGCATGTCATGACATGTTCTGTCTCAAGTTATACCATATGCACCAGCTGACTTTGTATGTGAAATGAATCATGGTGGTGTTTCTACAGCTGTTTCTTCACGCCATCCTTATGCCAAGTCAGCCCGTACTTTATTACAATTTGAGTGTCTCCTGTTATGTGCAAAAGCATGTAGATTTAATACTGTTCCTAATCCTCTACATTTTATTTTCTTTAGAACATATGTATTTCTATGTAAAAAGGTAAGGTAAAGCTATCCCTGTAACATGCCATGAAGGCCCACACGGATGTGAGACGCCGAGGCTCCCACATTTTCTAGACAATTGGCTCACAGATGGCTGTATGGGTGTAAGCCTTACGTTCCAGGCACCCTTTACCCCCAGGAAGATACTATGTTCCATTATGAATTGAGCACAAAACAAGTTATGCACAAAGGTCATATGCATATCTTTCTGATTTTAAAAATTTCTGTTTCATTAAACCCACAGTCTGTTACATGGGTCAAAAATATCTAGGGAGAAATTCAACTTGCACGTTAAAACTGAAAACTTCTATATTTTCAAATTGAAATAAAATATTACTCCCCCTCTTTAGTCCTGCAGGCCAATATAATGAAAGACATCTACTGCAGAGGTCTTCTAAACTCAGTCTAACACTGGGCATCACCATGATTAGCAAGAGGAACTGTCACATGTTTATGTATGCATTAGGATGGTGGGGGATCAGTTTTCATGATGCAAATGTACCTCCTATTGTTGTGGTAACTGGAGAATTCATAGCTGGAGCACGGAACTGTGGAATTGCCAAGCCGGGGGGAGGAATGATAGCTGTGCCTGGCACAGATGAAGGCAAAAGGCCAGAATGGGCATGTGTGGTTGACAGCCCAACAGGAGCTGCTGTCTGCAAACCTGGCACCGTCTGCATTGACTGTAGAGGCATTGTGGGCATCACAGTTGGAAGTGCTGGGATGCTTGGAAGCAGTGATGGTGTTGCAACAGGTGACCCTAATTTTGACAATCCTGGGAAAGGAGAAAAACAACAATAAAGAATTTCCACACTTTCACAGACATTATTAAAATTAAACGAGATGAGAAATACTTATTTAAACAAACTATCTATTTCAAGGCACTACCCCAAGATCTTCAGCTTCAAGAACTGCACCAGTGCCAGTGCTCTGGCTAAGCTGATAGTTGATTATGTTTCAATTCAATTCAGCCACAGTGGTTACACATCAAGCAACAAATCTGCTGCAAAACTTTGCACCACATTAAGAACATTAAGACAAAAGTGTTTTGTTGTGAGTCCTTTACTTACTACCCATCAAAATCAGAACAGAAAACTCCCAAGTCAGACATGTTATGCTCCAAGAACACGATGTCATAAAAATGAAAATTGCTTCAAGCTTGATTAGGAAGCAGACAATGAATCAAGACTGGAGACTTTCAAATTTGAAGGAAAAGAGTCTGCTTAGAAAAGACTCAACACCTCTGATGAAGCATTTCCATACAGATCACACAGTTCACATGATAAAATGTTACCACACACATTATACAGCCCGCCTGACTCTTACTACATCTACCATATCCCACCTATTTAAGTGTTACCACATCCACCACACAGACCATCTGGTGTTATCACACAGCCTGCCCGATGAAGCATTACCATAGCCACCACAGTCCACGTGACTCTTTCTCATCCATCAGAGTCCACTCTGAGTGTTACTTTATCCATCATAAAGGCCACCTCGTTTGTTACCACCAGATCCACCACATAGCCCAACTGGTGTTACAACATTCATCACACACTCTGATAAAGCATTACCACATCCACCACTCAGTCTACCTGATTAAGTGTTTTATATCACATCCATCACATAATCCACTTTAAGTGTTACCACATTTATCATGTCCACATGTTAAAAGCATTATCATGCCCATTACAAAATCTACCTGATGAAGTGTTACCACATCCATCACACTGACCACCCTGTGAAGTTCTACCACAACCATCATGTGATGTGCTGAGCTGAAGACGTCCCATATCAATAAAATAATCCAGCAAATTTGTAAAAGTCAGGCCTCTCATAAACATTCAGGCACATCCTTAGGTTGCGAGAGATATGGAGAAGGGTTCTGACACAAGACAAGGCATAATCCTATTGCCTGACAATGAACAATAATCACCACATGGAAAATACAAAAATTCAGGAACAGATTCCAATGTACTTTCCAGCATCCAGTTCAGAACATGTAACTTCACACAATGACTCCACACTTACCTAGAGCAACAGCATTGCTTGCTACTGCATCCATTGCCTGAATCTTGGCAGTGGCAGCAGCAGCGGCAACAGCTGCAGCTGTGGGCATCATACTTGCTGCACTTGCTGGCCCCTGAAAGAATATAAACAACAAATCACTTCAAATGGAAAACAAATGTCTCAATTTCATCTATACATAAATCACTACAATCCTACATATAGTTTAAAGGATCATTCGATATGGGCTGTGCCATGGAAAAGACCAAAGATGAGATCCCCAATTAAACTAACGCATATACTTCCCTAGGGTTAGGAGGGACTACCTTGCTCAAAGCAGTATAAGTTGAAAGTACACAAGGCCAAAATAAGTTGCAAGATCTTGGCTAGATAGTCTGTACAGCCTTGGTCAGCAACTCATCCAGGATGGAGCACAACTAATTATTTTCACAGCATACCATTAGCAAATGATGGATATGATTATATCACAAATATAAATGATTCTGTATTTCAGCATCCTGTTGTAATTGTTCACATTAGCGTCCATTTGTCTATAATCTGTTCAAATTGCAACATTTTTTATTTTTCACTTCAATACACTCTCTAACACTACATGTTTCGGCCTCAAACGGCCATCTTCAGGTGTTTTTCACAGATATTCCATTAAGACTGCGTCGAAACTGCTACCACAGCACGTGGTTTTTTAAAATGAATTAGAACAGTGGAACAGTGCAGCAGTTTCGACACAGTCTTAATGGAATATCTGTGAAAAACACCTGAAGATGGCTGTTTGAGGCCGAAACATGTAGTGTTAGAGAGCGTACTGAAGTGAAAAATAAAAGTGTTGCAATTTGGACGGATTATAGACAAATGGACACTAATAACACAAATATCAAATATGAATGTCATTCAATTTTCTGTACTGCTAGCCATCAGCAATAACATATGTCATTTGCAAAACCAAGAAATGTTACAAGAGCAACATGAGCAGACAACTATCCTTTCATAGGACAGAAACGCAAATTGTCGGCAGAATAGGCAAACCCTGACTGTTCCTTCAGGGACATATTAAGCTTCAGTGTACAAAGTCCAGCTGTAAGTTTCATGACAATCATGCTTATATTTTCAGCTTGTTCAGTGCATGCACATGGGCCATGGTAAATTGCCTTGCCTTCTCATCACTGCATGCAAGCATATATATACAGGGTGTCCCAGGAGGAATGTGCCAAACTTCGGGAGGGTGTTCCTTATGTTAAAGTATGCCGATATAACCCAAAACACCTATGTCCAAAGTTGAACAGTTACGGAGATAATGGCCCGAGAAAAGTGTGGTCTTCTTGCAGGTCCACGCACTATACGTACCTGTCAGCTGAGACCCTTATCTGTTTGTCCTTGAGTGCCGCGAGTCACACTAGCGTAAGCTCATGCGCTGCCTACAGATTACGTTGCTGTGGGGTCGTGAATGGGTGGTAAATTAGTTGTGTGATGAGTTGCTGAAATGCCTTTTGTGTTTTCACACGTCGAGTATTGTGATATGCATTTTGTGTATGGATTTTGCGGTGGCAATGCACGTGCTGCTGTTGAAGAGCACCAAAGGCGTTTTCCCGATCGAAGGATTCCATCTCGAAGTGTATTTACGCGAATTCACCAGACATTGCGTGAGACTGGTTCTCTTCCGAGTGTTTCTGTGCAGTCGGAAAGGGAGGATGTACAAATGAGAAACACACGAGAGAACATTCTTCGCATGATTGATAGAAGTCCGCGTCTCTCCACTCGTAGAATGGCCTCTCGCATCGGCGTATCACGTATGCAGGTGTGGCGAACTTTACATGA